CTACACACAAGCACTGTGGCACATATACACCCGTACACATACACACTAAAAAGAATATACTAAAAAATTTTTCCCCTTAATAAAGTGTTTTTTTAATTAAGCTGTTAAACAGAGGAAATGAAGGAATGAATGAATGCATGAATGACACGGCAGTCTCTAGAGGGCACAGGTCTCTCCTCAGCATTCAGAACATGTCCCAGTGAACAGTTGATAGGATTTATGCTCAGAAGTCTAGGCCCTCCTGACCTGGACCTGTGTTAAGACCAGCTGGGGTCACAGGAAGGCAGGGCATCAGGGCCCCAGCACCCCAGCTGTTTATGTAGGGCTGCAAGCATCTGAGGTGGGGCTCTGCAGGGAGGAGGAGCAGCAGGGAGGGACCTAGGCATGTCCAGGCAGTGGGGCAGCAGCCCTGCCCTTGTCCTGAGGGGCTCCACCACCACGCTGGAGGTGGGTTCATGAATGTTCCCTGCCATGGGTCAGAGGCTGCCGCCACAGGAGGAGGCATACTAGACCTCCATGGGTGGCTTCGGCTCCTGGGGTAGCAAGTTTGGGTTTTGTCTCCATGTATAAAAGTGGATACATGAAAATAAATCAAGTTGGCATCCAGGGCAGGAGAGCCGGGTGCCAGGCTCTGTGTTAAACGCTGCTTCTGCTAAGACACCAGCAAAAGGAAGCCCTGCCTGAGACGCTTGCTTTGGAGGCCCTGACCTGGCCTTTCTGTCTCCAGCATTGCCCCTTCTCCATGAGCTGAGGGGTTCAAGGGCCAAAGGGTCATGCACAAAAGAAAGACATCACCCCCACCCCCACCCATGCTGTGGACACCTGGGGGTCCCAACCTGCTTCAGGACCTGCCTCTGTCCCCCTAAGTGCAGACTGTGTTGCTGCTGTGCCCATAAGGTGGCTGGGACTGGCTAGGTCTTAGGGTGTTGGGTGGATCGTCTGTGAGCTCCAGACACAGACTGGGAAGGGAAGGGAGACCAGGGCAGAGGCTAGCTCTTGCTGGGCCTGCTCATCTGCTCAGAACACTAAGGGATTCTAGACTTCTCAATCCCCACTTCTTCCAGAGTAGCCTGTGAGGCAGAATCTCTTAGAATGTTCTTCCTCTCCATGACAGCAGATACCAATGACTAGCATGCTAGAGTTTGGGCAATGTAGCTATTGAATTTGCAGTCTTTCTTCACCTTATTTTATTTTATTTTATTTATTTTTGGTGTTTTTGAGACAGGGTCTCCCTGTAGCCCCAGCTGTCCTGGGACTCACTATGTAGACCAGGCTGGCCTTGAACTCACAGAGATCCACCTGCCTCTGCCTCCCAAGTGCTGGGACTAAAGGTGTGTGCCACCACGCCCGGCTTCTTTACCTTATTTTAAGATCTAGTAGCCACTGATGATGTCTCTGTGTGACTTTGAACACATTGCTTCCCTTGTCTGGGCTTCAGCTTGCTTATAAAACTGAAGGATTGAGCTGGATGACTCCCGCAGGGGGCTGGAGAGATAGCTCAGAAGTTAAGAGGGCTGACTGCTCTTGCAGAGGACGACGGTTGGGTTCCCAGCACCCACATGGCAGCTAACAACTGTCTGTAACTCTAGTTCCAAGGGATCTGACACCCTCTTCTGGCCTCTGTGGACACTGCATGACAGGTGCACTTTCATATATGTAGGCAAAACATTCATACACAGAAAATAAAAATAATAAAATCTTTTTTAAAGAAAAAATTCCTGAAGTCTAACTATGGTGATGCAATATGCTTCCTCTCCTTCCCAGAAAAATAAAATCACTTAAATGTCATTCAAATAGGTTGGCTTTAATCACAGCATATTAGACCAAACAGTTCCACATCATGATCAGGCCCTTGTGTCTGCGGAGGAGAGATGCTGGCCTCCATTTGCCTGCTGTGTTTGGACATAGGGCCTGTGGGCCTGCATTTGTGCTGTTGCTTCAGGTCCTGCAAATTTTAACAGCTGCAAACCACTTTGCTAGTTTGCATCATAACCCTCTGAGTGATTCTTTGTCCCAGTGTCTACAGTCCAGAGAGAAAGTAACTTGCCCAACATCAAAGACTCATCTTGGGATTGTGTCAGGATTTGAATTTGTGTCTCTTAAAAACTAATAATAATACCTCTGTGGGGCCATTTTCACAACCATAATAACTTCATTGAACCCTAATCCCGAGATCAGGCTGAAACCACAGTGCTCTATCCAGCACTCCCATTGTACAGATGGGGAGCTGATTCAGTGGGGTCAAAGCTCTCAAACTGGTGGCAAGTTGTGAATTCTGATTTCACTCGGAAGCTGCTATCTGGGGCTTGGGGCATATCTCAACTCGTACCCTCTGAGAGTTCCTCCTGGTGTCAGGGTTACAAAGCTGACGGGTCTGTAGGATTTTTGCTGAATTCTGGCTAGAAAGTGATTTCTTTTTGAAACTGAACAAGATTGGCTATTCATTTACTGCTGTGTGGAAAATTCAGAGTTTATCCCTCAACCAGTCCAACCAGTTTCAGGCTGAAGTTAGAAGTGTCTCTATAGACCAACTCCCTTTGAATCAAGGCTGAGACTTGCCCAGGGGCCTGCTGCTGTCACGTGCCCAGTGAGGCACTGGCCAGAGCCTCCCACTGACGCAGAGCACTGAGCAGGTGTCTGTCTATAAGCTACCACACCGCACCCAGCATGGAACTACTTTGTTCATAGACTTGATCTCACTGAATTCTTTTAGCTGGTCTTACAGGGCACTTTGCCCCTTGATTGTTGAAAAGAAAAACTTAAAGAGAGCTGTGCACCCACTTCCTGGATGCCATGTGTCATGGCTTGAACAAAATCTGGTCTCTGGCTTCACATCAGGAAGGAGAAAATTATAGCCTGGGACAGGTGCCTCAGAGACCGCTTTGCCCTCTTCCCAGAAAAAGAGCTGCTGTCATTAAAACGGGCTGCTTTGGGGGTTGGGCAGGTGACAGTCTGTGAAGTATCTGCTGCACAAACATGAGAACCTGAGTTCAGTCCCCAGTATTCACATAAAAGCCCTGCATGGCAGCAAGTGCCTGTAATCTCAGCACTGACGAGGCAGAGACAGGCTGATCCCTAAAGTGCACTAGCCTGTCAGTCTAGCCAACTGAGGAGCTCCGGGTTCAGTGGGAGACCTTGTTTTAAAAAATAAGGAAAAGGGGCTACAGAAATGGCTTAGCAGTTAAGAGCACTTGCTGCTCTTGCAGAGAACCTACATTGGGTTTCTAACAAGGTATGATGCCTTATAATTGTCCATATCTCCAGTTCCAGGGGATCTGACCCCCTCTTATGCCCTCCTAGGGCACTGTACACACGTGGTGCACTTACAAGCATGCAGGCAAATCACTCATACACATAAAATAAAATTTTTAAAAAAAGGTGAACAGCAATTAGGGAAGACACTTAAGGTTAACCTCGCCCCACACACACACACACACACACACACACACACACACACTCACACACGCATACATACACAAAAAAGACAAAGAAACAGTGGCTACCTCAGTTACCAGATCAATGCTGTGGCCCTGCAGTGCTTCCATAAAGCATTCAGAGTTATATGAAGTGTTGGGGCATCCACTGGGGGCTTGGAACAAACCCCCAGGGAATAAGTACTATACTATGGACCTACTATGATACAGTCCTATAACTGTAGGCCTACTACGATGCAGCCCTATAACTGTAGGCCTACTATGATGCAGCCCTATAACTGTAGGCCTACTATGATGCAGCCCTATAACTGTAGGCCTGCTATGATGCAGCAAAGATGTCATCATCAACAAAAGCATTTATCTAGCACTTACTGCTAACCAGGCACTCTTGTAACCATTTGGGAGGGTGATCTCATTTAATCTTTGCAATCAGTTGAAGATGCGTATACAATTATCCTCATACACCGAAGGGAACTGAATTCAGGAGAGGTTGCAGGTCTCGATCCAGTGAGACGGCTCCAGAATTCATGGTGGAAGGAGAGAACTGACTCCCAAAAGTTGTCCTCTGATAGCCACATGCATGCCGTGGCACATGCACATCTATAGTGTCACACACACACACACACACACACACACACACACACACACGGTGGAAGCAGAGAACCAACTTCTGAAAGCTGTCCTCTGACTTCCATATCCATGCCATGGCACATGTCCCCACACCCACACCCACATCCACACATCACACACACAATACAATAATAATAAATTTTAAAACTGTGAGCTGTATTTCTCCCAAGAAGTTTTGATAGCATCTCTGTTTATACTTCATTAGCGATACATTTCTTTTGTAAGAGAAAATACTAAAAATAGAAACAGACACAGACCGGAAGTCCCCTCATCCCCCCTGCTCTGTTGTTCACGTCTGAGAGGTTCAAGCAGTCTCTTTTGGATGTACTTTTGCATATGTGGTTGAGCTCAGACAGCGTGTACAATTTGTTCCCCAAGCTTTGTGTTACCATAAACTCTGCAAACACCATTTAATGATGGAAGCAGCTCTTTATAGGTGAATCACCCAGCATTTAAAATGTGACAATGTACTCTTCTGAGCACATTAATGCTCCCTGGGAGGGATAAAACCACCCAGAGAAAAGTGCCTTGGAAGCCCTGACTGTACTGCCCACCAGCTGTGTGACCTTGGAAGCCTCACTGCCCTTTGCCAATCCTGATTACTTTTAATGGAGAATAAGTGCAGCAAATGTTCCCTCTGGTTACTGGGAGGGCGAGCTGGGCGCTGCGTGCTGAGGCATTGTTCGAACGGACGTGGTGAAGCGAGAGTCTGTGAAATGATGTTTTGCTTTTTTTTTTTTTTTTTTTTTTTTTTTTTTTTTTTTTTGGTCTTTTTGAGACAGGGTCTCCTTATAACCCCAGCTGTCCTGGAACTCACTATGTAGACCAAACTGGCCTCGAACTCACAAAGATCCACCTGCCTCTGCCTCCCAAGTGCTGGGATTTAAGGCGTGCACCACCACGTCTGGCCTCTGTTTTGCTTTTAACTGTTTTCAGAATGCAGAAGTGGGCTCAAATTTAATCAAAGTGGCGTCTACAAGAGCGACGGCTCTGAAGGAGAAAGATGACCAAGTCTATTGCCAGCCTGAAGTGCTCTATGAAGGTAGGATGTGTTCTCTCTCTCTCGGAGCTCCCCTGAGCCCACTTTGTGTGATGCCTGCCTCCCATGCAGGGACAGGATCAACAGGAAAGGCTTGTGGAACCCCAGGAAAAGCATTTCAAGATCTTTCTCTTTTGGCTTCCAACACCATGTATGCAACCACATATGCAAAAGTCTTTGAACCCATGATGTGTACAGTCACCATCTGTAAGTGGCTGTGACTTATTAAACAGGCACCATAGGCCCTGTCTCTACCTCTGCACAGTCCCAATGCCTGCCAAGTGGGTGTGGTCAGCCCACTGCCTCTAGAAGATGCTGAGTTACAGCACAGAGTGCCAGGTCCCAAGACTGGAGCCACATCCATGGGTGCACACTCCTGGGCCTGGGCCCTATTGACAGGAGAGGCTGGGTATTCTTTTTGGTAGGGCTGTGCTTGGCATTGGAGGATGATTAGGAACATCCCTGGATACCAAGAAGCCCTCACCCTGAAGGGAACAACAAAAAGTTCTCAGGACAGTGCTGCTGTCCCATGGGACTGAGTTTCTGTGCTGCTATATCATAGGGTGTGACACAAAGCCTGGCACAGGAAGAGCCTGCACCACACTTGTAAGTGCACAGTGAAGCTGGGCGTGGTGGGCCATGCCTGTAATCCCAACATCAGGAGGCTGAAGCAGGAGGATTTCTGTGAGAACAAGGTTAGCCTGGGCTACATAGAGACCATGTCTCAACAGAGAGATACAGTCTCAAAAAACAAAAACAGGACTAGAGAGAAGGCTGAGTGGTTAAGAGCACCAGCTACTCTTGTAGAGGACCCAGGTTTAATTCCCAGCATCCACATGATGGTTAACAGTCATCCATAATTTCAGTTCCAGGGGATCCAATGTTCTCTTCTGACCTCCGTGGGCATTGCATGACATAGGTGCACTTACACACATGCAGGCAATACACTCACATAAAATAAAAATAATAATAAAGATAAAACAAAAACAAAGTACATGCCTGTAGTCCCAGGAGTTTAAGGTCTTCTCCTATATAGTATATTAAAGGCCATCCTAGGCTACAGGAGACCCTATCTTGAAACACCAAAACAAAACAAATGAAAAAAATCAAGGAAGTATACAGTTAGTCACTGGCTTGCCACTTTTTCTAGACCACCAGAGAGTGGGAATGTATAGATTTTTATATTTATTTAGAGACAAGGCCTCATTATGTTGCCCAAGTCAGTCTCAAACTCAAGGATTCAAAAAATCCTCCTGCCTCAGCCTCCTGAGTAGCTAGAACTCCAGGCACAAATTATGGTACCTGTTTCAAATGTGTTGGTAATATTTGGTTGGTTGGGTCAGTTTTGCAGTGCTTGGGATGTAGCTCGGGACTTAGCAAACAGCATGATCCCACTGAGCTAGATTCCAGTTGTAACAGACACACACATACACACACACACACACACACACACACACACACACACACACACACACGTGCTGGCAGCCCTCTCCCAGGTGCAGGCATCTAGAAGGACACAATTCTGGGCACTCTCTTAGGACAGCCTCAAGTCCTGCCTCGGAAGATGCCATGAGGTCTCCCCCTTGATGGGCCTTTAGAAATGAATGTTGAGACCTTGGTCCCAAGCCCGTCTTAGGACAGCTTAGAAAACCTGCTTTAAGTGCATGAGTGTAACTCTTCATAATCCTCTGGACCCATCCCTTAGCAGTTTCACAGTCATTTTGGGGATGGGCTGTCTCTCACCCTACAGTTCCTTCCCTTGTTCCCCACAAGCCTGATGACCACTTATGCCTTGGGGTCCTTCTCTGCATCATCCTTTTTATAGGAGAGTAGCCCAGGCTGGCTTGAACTCACTATGTTGCCAAGGATGCCCTTGAGCTCCAGCTCCTCCTGTCCCCACCTCTCAAATTCTGGGACTACAGGTGTGCACCACCATGCCTTGCACCAGATTTAGTTTAGATTCCACATTGACCATCTCCCTGTGGCTTCTGAAGTTTCTCTTCACACCTCCCCCCACGTGTGTATGCGGCATATGCACACACAGTATTTTTTAAAATAGCTTTCAAACATTGCTGTAGACTCTGATTTTAATCGTGTATTTCCCCTTGATTTCTATCTCAGATAATTACAGATACTTACATACTTAAAGCCTCTGGTCTATAGCACCTCACTCCTGAACCTTCAGGCGGGGTCGGCCTCATTATCCTGCCTGCGGCCACCTTTGATCTAATTTGGGTCTGAATCAAGGTCAGGGGTGGTGCTTGGGAATGGTTTCTGTAGAGTGAGGTCCAGCCTTGCATGAAGGGGGAAGGTCCTCACCCAAGTGATGGGGGTTCATCAGTACCCGGTCCTCTCCAGGCCTAGAGCTCCCTCGGATCAATTATGCTCACAACGGAAAGCCATATCGATATGTGTTCGCTGCTGAAGTTCAGTGGAGCCCAATCCCAACCCAGGTACTGACCCCTGGGTCCCCACAGTCCCAGTGCTCATGGGTTGGTTTTGTTCACACCCATCTTACCTGCCTGCAAAGCAGACTCCTCAGGGTTTGAGATTGGGCAAAGGGAGTCAGGAGGGAAGTCAGTTGGGAAAAATGAATCTGAGCTGCTGATGGTCCAGGGTTCAGGAACTGAGTTCACCCCTCCACACTTAGTGAGCCCCAGCTATGTGCCACGCTGTGGGAGGCATCACGAGCAAAGGAGTTATCAGGGAAAGCCCCCCCCGCCCCCGCAGGAGCCAGCCACTCTCAGCAGACTGGACAATGCTGGAACTTGGGGGCTTTGTTTCTTAGCCCCCTAGTTATCAGTTCTGACCGTATCCCACACTGTCTGACACTGGCTGGACATCACTTTTCCTTCATAGCTATGTTTTTATTGCAGTTTAAAATGCAGGGCCAGCGAGATGGCTCAGCAGGTAAAGGCGCTTGCCAGCCAGCAAACCTGATGACCTGAGTTCGATCCCTTGAATCCACACAGTAGACTGAGAGAAATGACTGACTTCCACAAGTTGTCCTTTGACTTCCACATGTGGGCCACAGCACCTTCATGCATGTTGCACCATGTGTACACATACATTCAAATAAATAAATGTATAGCTGGAGAGGTGGCTCAGTGGTTAAGACACTGACTGACTTGCAGGGGACCTGGGTTCGATTCCCAGCACCCACATGGTGGCTGACAACCATCTGTAACTCCAGTTCCAGGGGAATTTGACTTCCTCTTTTACCCTCCTCAGGCATTGCAAAACATGGGGGCACTCACATACATGCAGGCATGAACTCATATACATAAAATAAAAGTAAATAAAATATTAAAATAAATGTAAGAACACATACAGTAAAAATTTTAAAATGAAAAAGAATTTAAAATTTGTAAATGCTCACAGTGCAGAAATATTGAGAAGCAGAATTAAGATTCCCCCCCAACACAACCCCCAAAGCCACACCCCACTAACCCTACACCCTCCCAGAACAGGAACAGGCCTACCAGAGTCTGTGAAGCGCAGGAACTTCCCCTTTTATTTGCTTTCTTGGTTCATTTTGTTTTTTGGATGCTTAAAATCAAATCAGGGTCTCAGGCGTGCTTGTTAGGAGCCCCACCACCCTGCTCCAGCCCTTGTCTACAACTTTTAAAAGCAACACAAGAGCTTTGCCATCCTTTAACTACTGGCACCAAACACATTGATTATTTAATGTAAAACATTGTGCTAAATACCAGAAAAATTCAGGATGGTGGGACATCAGCCTTATTGGGCCACAAGACCTCTGCTTGGCATTGGAGGAGGAATTTTTTCTCTTCTCTTTCTGTAGCTGTGAGAGCCTGGGACAGATGTCACAAGTCTTGGTTTAGGGGCCTAATCTCCTCTCAGTGGGCTTTCATACCCTCTTGTTCCCAGGGAGTCAGGATGCTCGCAAACAAGTGACCCCCATCTTTCTTTTCTTGATACACAGATAATAAAATATGACATTCTCACCAAATCCTCCTTAAAATGGTGTGAGGAGTGCTGCTGGCCGGCAGAACCCTTGTTTGTACCTGCACCAGATGCTAAGGACGAGGACGATGGTAAGCCTGCGAGAAGGGAGCCTGTGTGCTGCACGCTCTTGGTCGCCTCTCAAACAGAGGCACCATCCAGGAGCATCACACAGATGGGGAAAGCCTGCAGGGAAGTCTTAGTCTGTTGGCCCATGCTAAGAATTTCCCAGGACCACTTCTGTGAAGCCCAAGTTCAAGGACTCCCAGGGCCGGGCTCTGTAATCCACTAGGAGGACCTGCAGAGTTCAAGGGAAAACCTTATTCTTCAGGTTGTGTCTTATCACAGTGAGAGAATATAAATTAAAGTTAGTAAAGGTCTCATGTAGACACACAGGGTGGAGTCCAGTAGAGGCCAGGCACAAGGCTCCTGACCATCCTTTCCCAGCAGACTCATCAGTAGGGCTACCTTCTGACCACCATGTGTGACGATGACCCACTAAATATCACCAGCCATGAAAGCTCACCCAAGCCTTTGTATCCAGTCTTTACTGTGGCTCACTCACATAAATGTGATTGATACCTTGTGTTGCTGACCTTCAATGTTCAGCACCTCAGAGGTCAAGAATATGTGACCATATCATTTAAGGCCCCATCATAAATCACGTTGCTGGGGGCTAGAGATATGGCTAAGCCATTAAGAGCACTGGCTGCTCTTGCAGAGGACCTGGATTCATTTCCCAGCACTGACATTGTGGCTAACAACCATCCATAACTCCAGTTCCAGGGGATCCAACGCCCTCTTCTGACTTCCACAGGTATTATACAACACGGGTGCACTAATATACATCCAGGCAAAACATTCATACACATAAAGTAAAAGTAATAAAATATTTTTAATATTTTATTTTTTATTTTATGTATATGCATGTATTGCCTTGCATGTATGGAAGTGCACCCATGTCATGCAATGCCTACAGAGGTCAGAAGAGGGCGTTGGATCCCCTAGAACTGGAGTCATGGACGGTTTTAGCTGCCATGTGGGTGCTGGTATCTGAACCCGGGTCTTCTGCAAGAACATTCAGTGTCCTTAACCAATGAACCATCTCTCCAGCCCCATAAAAGTAATAAAGTATTTTTTAAAAATCACATTGTTGCACTTGCTTCAGCAGCACATATACTTAAAAAAAAAAATCACATTGTTAGCCAGGGACAGTGGTGCAAGTAGGAGGTGGGGGGAGAAGGATCAGGACTCCAAGGTCATTGTTCACTACATAGCTACTTTGAGCTACTGAGACTCTGTCTCAAAAAAAAAACAAAACAAAACAAAAAAATGGGGCTGGAAAGATTGCTCAGTGGTTAAGAGCACTGGCTGCTCTTGCAGAGGACCTATGTTTGGTTCCCAGTACCAACATGAAAGCTCCCTCTTTTGACCTCTGAGGACATGCATGACAGAAGTACACTTACATACATCCAGGCAAAACACTCAGACACATAAAATAAGAATAATCAAAATTTTAAATAGGTAAATAGATTGATAGATAAATTATAGATATATAAATGATTGATAGATGATTGACAGATGATAGAAGATAGATGATAGATAGATGATGATAGATGATGATAGATGATAGATAGATGATAGATAGATAGATAGATAGATAGATAGATAGATAGATAGATAGATAGATAGATAGATGGATAGATGGATGGATTAATGGATGGATAGATAGATAGATAGAAAGAAAGAAATGGTACGTACATAGGTACTTGATAGACTGTAGACACAATGGTACTAAGTAGACAGATGAGAGATGATAGAGAAATATTTGGTAGGTGAAAGGGTAG